AGCCCCGCCGCCTTGTGAGAGGGCCTTCTTCGCCTTCTTCTCACTTCCCCGCCTCGCTCGGCGCCGAACCACCACCACAACCACGACACACGACCATACGATAAGCGTGACCACCGCGCTAATGTGAAGGGGCCCTGGGACACACAAATGAATACACACAAATAACAGGATTCGCCGTACGTTCCCATGCTTTCTGGGTGTTTGCATTCCCCCCCCACTTCCCCTGTTTTCCTACATCTTCTGGGGAAGCGACGATGAGAATGGTGTCGGTGTGTTTTTGTCCCCTCCTGATAGTGGGCGGGTCGGGGGGGGGGGGGGGGGCGAGGCGAGAGGGCGGACCCTGGCGACTGGGCCAGGCGGGCCGTTCCTGACGGGCGGGCCGGGCGGTGAGGGAAAGGAAGGCGGGCGGGCGGGCTTCAGGCCAGGCAGAGGGCGGGCACAGGTGGGCGGACTTGGCTGACAAGCCATGCCCCTCGTCATCCTCCTCCTCCTCCTCCTCCTCCTCCTCCGACCTACCTACCTACCTACCTACCTACCTACCTACCTACCTACCTACCTACCTACCTACCTACCTACCTACCTACCTACCTACCACCATCCCTCATCCCTCCCTCGTGCTCTCTTCTGCATGCTGCCTCCCACCGGCTCCCTACTCCTTCCTCCATGCTCCCCCTCTCCTCCCCATCTCCTCCCTTTCTCCTCCCCCTCTCCTCCCCCTCTCCTCCCCCTCTCCTCCTTCCTCATCCCTATCCCCTCGCCTGGGCCGCCTCGGACCCTCTCTTGGGCTCTTGGAGGCCCCCTGGGGGCGCGCCTGGAGCGCTGCCTCCTCTCCTCCTCCTCCTTCTCCTCCTCCTCCTCCTCCTCCTCCTCCTCCTCCTCCTCCTCTCCTCTCCTCCTCTCTCCTCCTCCTCCTCCTCCTCCTCCCTCCCCCTCCTCCTCCTCCTCCGCCCAAAAACGCCTGAAGAGGGACCAAAATCCTTGATGCTCTGCACGTTGTTAAAGGATTTCAATGTTCTTGCTTTTCCAAGCCTCCAACGCTCCAAGACGGCCCATGATACCCCCAACATCATCGCCGCAAGAGGACACAAGAGGTCCCTGGGAGAGCCCGACTCACCAAGAGAGCCCTGGGACGGCGCGAGGCCACCAAGACGGCCGAGAAAGCCCTGGAAGCCCAGCAGGTGGACTCCGCCACCGTGCCAGCACGGAGTGGGCGCGTTAGAATGTGAACGTTTTCTTATTCGGCGTTTCGACATTGAGCGACAGAGGGGGTTTAGGGGTGGGGTCTGGCTCCGGACCTCTGCTTAATGCGACTGTTTGCACCAGTGCGTCCTTTGGGGGAGACTCCACCTACTCGAAACAGGCGCCAAAAAGCCAAGATCTACTCCATGGGGGGGGGAGGGGGGGGAATGCGAGGGCCCGCGCCGATCGGCAAAACAATGAATCAGAAAACGATCACAATGCTTGTCTGTTGTTTGTGATTTGTTGTTGTGTTTCCTAGCGCCGATCCCCCCCCAAGCATCGCAAGCATCGCGCGAGTCCTTCTGAGATCGCCTCCCCTGAAATCGCTCCCCAGCGCTCTTTTCAGCCTCCAGACGGCCAAGATGGCCTCCATGAGGGTTTCCAAGATAGCCGAGAGGACACCAAAACGGCCCGAGATGACACAAGACAGCTCAAGAGGCTCTCAATCCAAGACGGCCCTTGTAAGAATTGCGTTGTTCCTACAATTGGCCTCCGTCTTGCTGCGCCGTTGCACAGGCACGGTGGCGGGGTTTGCCGCAGGCAGCTGGAAACAAATAGCTATGCGGAGCCTTCTACGACCCGCAACACCACCAAGAAGCCCCCAAGAGGTCCCCCGAAAGCCCCCAGAGAGTTCCACGAAGACCCCGAGAGAGGCCCCCGAGAGCCCTCGGGGCATCCTAAGACACCTGGAGATGCGTCCAGGAGGCCTACGATTCACTACCCAGGCACGGTGGCGAGAAGGGTCTTCGTGTGTCTCATGCTCGTTCCTCCCCCTCGTCGTCGCCGCCGTCGCCCGCCTCCGTCGGCCACTACACTTGGAGGCTGGGAGGTGGGCACCAACACCAACTCAGGGGGGGGGTTCTCCTCTGGGAGAAGCTCATGCTGGATTTCGGTGATGGTGGCAATCTTTCGGCCGCCTAGGAAGCCAGACTATTACCACCATCACCGAGATCGGGAGAGCCTTCCCTCGGTGGAGGCACACCGCCGACACTGGTGTTGGTGTCAAGCTCTGGGCCTCCGATACACAAGGGCTCCCAACTTCGCGCTTCGCGCTGCGCGAAGCGCGAAGTGCGAATAACTTCGCGCTCTCGCGCCGCCTCCCAAGGGAGAAGAGGAGGATGAGGAGGAATCGGAGCCGAACCGCGAAGCGCGAAGCGCGAATAACTTCGCGCTCTCGAGGGCGCCCTTGGATACACCTGGCGGCTGGGGCGCAGACCTCCCCCTGGAGCTCGGCCTTCTCCTTCTCCAGCTGCTGAAGCGCCTCGGCAGCAGCGGCGGGGCACTGCGAACCCCGTGGCCCTGCGAACGCACGTCCTCGGCGGCGCTCGGCGGCCCCCAGAGAGCCCCCTCGGAGGCCCCCTCGGAGGCCCCTCGGAGGCCCTGGGAACCGTGGTCTCACGGAGTGGCGTCTCTCCCTCTCCCTCTTCCCCTCCCTCCCTCGTTCCCTTCTCTCTCTCTCTCTCTCTCTCTCTCTCTCTCTCTTGCTCTCTCTCTCTCTCTCGTTCTCTCGTTTTCTCTCTCTCTCTCTCTCTCTCGTTCTCTCTCTCTCTCTCTCTCTCTCTTTCACTCCTGTTATCCCTGTTTCTCTCTGTCTCTATTTCTCTCTCGTTTTGTTTCTCTCTCTCTCTCTCTTCTCTCTCTCTCTCTCTCTCTCCCCCTCTCTCTCTCTCTCTCTCGCACTCTCTCTCTCTCTCTCTCTCTCTTTATGTATATATATATATAGTTGTATACATGTATATGTATGTTCACGTTTACCTATATGAGCATATAAATGTGTATATCACCCCCTTGTTTCTCTCTCTCTCTCTCTCTCTCTCTCTTTCTCTGTTTATCTCTGTCTCTCTCTCTCTCTCTCTCTCTGTCTAGGTCTACTTATATATATATATATGTATACTAGAACCATCGCGCGCGCTTCACGCGCGCACAGGTTCTAGCAGGCCCCAGGCCTTGACGAATTCACTGCTCCTCTGAAGTAGTGGACCACAGTACACGCATGCCAATCTGCATTCCGAAAGGCCTTCGAGGAAAATGGTTGTGTAGGGGGGCGGAGGCCGTATGAATCGGGTTCCCAGAAGGCCTTCTGGGAGCATGGGTTTGGGGGCGTCTTGGGGAGCCTGTTGGGGCGTGTCGTCGTCGTCGTCGTCGTCGTCGTCGTCGTCGTCGTCGTCGTCGTCGTCGTCGTCGTCGTCGTCGTCGTCGTCGTCGTCGTCGTCGTCGTCGTCGTCGTCGTCGTCGTCGTCGTCGTCGTAATGTCGTCGTCGCCTATTGGGGCGCGCGTCGTCGTCGTCGTCGTCGTCGTCGTCGTCGTCGTCGTCGTCGTCGTCGTCGTCGTCGTCGTCGTCGTCGTCTTCGTCGTTTCGTCGTCGTCGTCGTCGCTTCAAGAGGGCACTTGGGGCATCTTTGTGCGAAACGATCTGCGGAGGCCCGCGAGAAGGCGATCAGTCATGTTCCCAATCAACTTCCCAGACGGCTCTCCTGTAGCATGATGGTACTTCAAAGCCTCCGGAGACTCGCAGGCCCATGATGAACCATGTCCCCAGAAGGCTTTCTGGGGACACGGTTTGTTGGGGTGTGTTGGGGGGCCTCTTGGGCGTTCCCTGGGGGCCCCTTGGGGGCCTCCATGGAACTCTCGGGCCCATGATGAACCATGTCCCCGGAAGGTTTTCCGGGGACATGATTTCTTGGGGTGTGTTGGGGGGCCTCTTGGGCGTTCCCTGGGAGCCCCTTGGGGGTCTCTTGGGGCTTCCTGGGTCCTCTTGAGCGCCTCACGGGGCTCCGTGGAAGGCTCTTGGTGGCCTCCGGGGGCGGCGGCCTCTAGGGCCAGAGACCTCGAAATATCGGTTGGCGGTCCCCCTCTGGGCCCTCTCTTGGGGAGCTCTTGGGGCACAGTTGGGCTGTCTGGGAAGCCTCCTGGGCCGTCTTGGAGCCCTCTTCGGGGCCTCGTGGCCCCGTCTTGGAGCGATCTGAAGGGCCTCCGAGCGAGGCCGTGAGGGAGCGCTGGGAAGCGGGGAAAGCGAGAACGCCAAAATCCAAAACACTCGGAAAACGAGTGAATCTTGCCTTCCAGGGCCCTCTTGGGCAGCCTCTTGAGTCCGTCCTGGAGCGTGTTGGAGTCCTCGTCGGCTGTCTTGAGGGCATCTTGGGCGTCTTCGGGCCCTCGTGGGACCGTCTTGGGCCCTCTCGGGACCCCCTTAGCCTGTCGTGGCCTGCTTCGGGGCGGGCTCGGGCCGCCTCGGGAGCTCTGGACCCCCCCCTGCAACCCCTGATGGGCACCGATGGGGGGAACAGGCAGCGGCCCGCCCCCCCCCCCCCGGGCCTACTCCGAGATAGAGAATCATGTTCCCGGGAAGCTTTCCGGGAGCATGATTTGTTCGGCTCTCTAAGAGGGGGGCCTCTGGGGGCTTACCGAGGGGGGCCTTTTGGCCTTGTCGGCAAGCCTATTGGAAACATGATTGGGGCAGTGGGCGGAAGCCCAAGGAATCATGTTCCCGGAAAGCTATCTGGGAAATACGATTTACCGAAGTGTCTTGGGGGCCCGCAGGGGGGTCCCTGGGAGCCTCTTGGGAGCCTCACGGGACTTCTCGGGAGCCTTTTGATGGCCTGTCCTAGGAGCCTCTCAGGCCGGAGACCTTGAAATGTCGCGCTCTTCGGGCCCTTTGGGTCGCTCTTGGGGCTCTCTTGGGGCGCTCTCGAGGCCCTCTTGACTTATCTGAGGAACCTCCTGGGCCGTCTCTGGGCTTTCTTGGGAGCCTCTTCGGCCGCCTTGGAGCGATCTGAAGGGCCTCTGACGCGGTCTGGGACCGTGGGGAGGCGGAACATGGAGAGCGCAATGATGCTTCAAAAACCACTGGAATATTGATAATTTTCGGCTTCTGGGGCCCTTTGGAGGGGCCTCTGGAGGCGCTCTTGGGGCGTTTTGGCGGCGTCGTCGGCCGTCCTGAGGCCATCTTCGGCGTGTCGGGGGGCTCGGGGCCTCTGGGGGCTGTCTTCAGGCGTCCGGGGAACCCGGAAATCATGTTCCCGGAGAGGCTTCCGAAACCATAATTTCGAACGAGACCCTCTTGGGCCTCCCTGAGGCAGTCTTGGGGGCCTCCTGGGCTGGCTTTGGGGCCTCTTGGGCCGTCTTGGGGGGTTCCGTCAGCCCCACAGGACGACCCTTTTGGGCCGTCTTGGGTCCTCTTGGGTCTCTCTTGGGCTGTCTTGGGGCTCCGCGGGGGCGTCTGGGGCACTGCGAAGACGAAGACAACGAGTATGCTGAACATGTACGGTTTACTACGGGGACGGTCTGATTTTTGCCTCTTGAAGGCCCTCTTCGGCCATCTTGAAGCCATCTCGGGCCCTCTTGGGCCTCGCTGAGGAGGCTGTCCTGGGGCCCTCTAGGGGGCCCTGGGAACCTGGAAATCATGTTCCCGGAGAGTCTTCCGGGAACATGATTTCGAACGGGGCCCTCTTGGGCCTCCCTGAGGCCGTCTTGGGGGCCTCCTGGGCCTGCTTCGAGGCCTCTTGGGCCGTCTTGGGGAGTTCCGTCAGCCCCACAGGCCAACCCTTTTGGGCCGTCTTGGGCCCTCTTGGGTCTCTCTTGGGCTGTCTTGGGGCTCCGCGGGGGCGTCTGGGGCACTGCGAAGACGAAGACAGCGAGTATGCCGAAAATGCACGTTTTACTAAGGAAATGGGCCGATGTTTGCCTCTTGAAGGCCCTCTCGGGGCCCTCTTCGGCCATCTTGAAGCCATCTTGGGCCCTCTTGGGTCTCGCTGAGGCTGTCCTGGGGCCTAGTAGGGGGCCCTGGGAGCCCGGAAGTCATGTTCCCGGAGAGGCTTCCGGGAACATGATTTCGAACGGGGCCCTCTTGGGCCTCCCTGAGGCCGTCTTGGGGGCCTCCTGGGACGGCTTCGGGGCCTGTTGGGCCGTCTTGGGGGGTTCTGCCAGCCCCACAGGCCGACCCTTTTGGGCCGACTTGGGCCCTCTTGGGTCTATCTTGGGCCGATTGAAATGGGCCGATTCTTGCCTCTTGAAGGCCCTCTTGGGGCCCTCACGGGCCCTCTTGGGGCGCTCTTGGGCGTCTTCGGGGCCTCTTCAGGCTTTCGTGACCATCTGTACGACCCGCGTGGCCTGCCGTGGGCAATTTGGAAGTGGCCCGGGGCAGTCCCGGGGGGTCTGTGACCCCCCAAAGGGCTGGGGGGGTCCCCCAAGGGGGATGACGGCACCGATTTCCCCCCCCCCCCCAGCCTACTCATATATACATATATGTATATATACATGTATGCATGCATGCATGCATGCATGCATGCATGCATGCATATATACATACATACGTACGTACGTACGTACGTACATACATACATACATACATGCATGCATGCATGCATACATACATGCATACATACACATACACATACATATATATACATTTCCATATATATACACACACATACATACATACACACAAATATGGTTTGCTCTCTCTTTCTCTCTCTCTCTCTCTCGATGTCTCTCTTTCTAGCTCTAGATATGCATGTATGGATCAATGTGTGTACTATACACGTGCCCAAATTTTCATACAACCATGTATGCATAGACATGTACGAAATCAAACAAACACACATACATACATAGATGCATGCATGCATGCATGCATGCATACATACATACATGCATACGCACATGCATAGATATATATGTATATATACATATCCATATATATATAAGTATATACGTACATGCATACAAGCATGCATGCACACACATGCATGCATGAATACATACAAACGTTTATACGTACCTACACGCACACATGCACACATACGAACCTACATGCATACACACAGAAATGCATACATACATGCATCCATACATACACACGTGCATACATAAATGCATGCATGTTTACATACATGCATACATACGTACGTAAGTGTATACATACATGCTTACATGCGTACGTCCATAAATGCATGCATGTCTACATGCATGCATGCATACATACACGCAAGCATACATGCGTGCATATATGTATACGTGCATGAATGCATACATAAATACATACATACATACATACATACATACATGCATACATGCATATGTAAAAGCATACTTGGATACAAAAATACATACAGGCATGCATACACATATATATGTGTGTATATATAGAAATATATATATATATATATATGTGTATATATACATGCATGCATGCGTACGGACGTGCATACATACATGCTTACATGCATACGTCCATGCATGTATACCTACATACATGCATA